CAGCACTTAAATGCATCATCTCATTTAACCTTAACAGCAACCCTATCAAATGAGTGTCTATCTTCATTGCAGGGAGAGAAATAAGCTTTGAGGGGCTAAATAACTGGCTAATGCTATGGCACTGGGGATTTGTAGCAACGATTCAAAGCCTGCGGAGCGGGAAGAGAAAGGCTGGAGGTGGTGCCCTGTGGAACCATGGGGATTATTTCCTGGTGGCCGGAGGAGCTGCAGAGTAGTGGGAGAGGTGGTGAGCAAGTGGGCAGAGTGAGGAAGAGGAAGGCGAGCAGTCTGGGCTTCTGTGGGGGTGGAGGGGTTGTTGGGGACAGAGGGGAGGAGCCAAGGGGCAGCAGAGGTGTGAATGCTGGCCAGGGCTCATGGTGCTGGAGAGGGTGAAGGGACACCTGGACTGGAGTGGGTGTGCTCTGCTCTGAGTAATCCTGGCACTGACCCGTTCCCCCCTTAAGCACGCAGACTCCTACGTGGCACCTCTGGGCAGTGAGGCAGGTCACCCCTCAGCTCCATGGCCTCATGTGCTCCTGTCCTAGCCCTGAGTGCCCTGTGTGGGACTCCCAGTGGGAAGCAGTATCCCAGAGGCAGTAGAAGGCACCCTACGCTGAGTGTAGGGGTTGTGAGGAGGCAGAGAGGGCAAGCATGGCCAGGCAGGAGGCTGGGTGAGGCTGGAGGGTATCCCGTTTCTGCGGCACGGGATGCACTTTCCAGATGGACTGAGCTGTGCTCCTGCCCTGACACTGCCCAGCCCAGATCTAATTGATGACCCTTCTTTGCCTGGTGCTGGGCTGTGACCTTAGATGCCCCTGCCCTTGCCCTTGCTATTATGATGCCCAGTCTGAACAACACTGGTTGGTGCCCTCTGCTCATTGTCCATCCTCCACGGCCCCAGGACTTCACTGACCTTTGACATTGACCCTGAAGCGCCGACTGTCTTGGCCACCAGATGTTGACACGCGGCACTCCCAGAGCCCACTGTCCCCGAGGGCCAAGGGGGGCACCTCGAACTCGGCTGTGGTCCTATCTGGCTCCACAATGGCCTTGGTAGACTGAGAGAGATGGAGAGGGGAGGACCACAGAGAATGTGCACCCATGTGGCAGATACACACATATGTCTGTCTGGACTGATGAGGGGACAGGCCTGGTAGCAGCCCCCCAACAATCAGCCTGACCCTACTTAAGCCATTGGGTAGAGCCTGCAGAAAGCCCCGTGAGGACATGGGTCAGAGGGATCAACTGTGAAGTTGGTGGGGTGGGTGCCCTGGGTTAGGGGTCAGGAGGCTGACCAGGAGGACGGTGCCATCTGGCTTGCGGAGCTCCATGCTGCCTCGTACTGGGAAGGGGTTCCCTGCGGCTGCACAATTGATGCGGGGCATCATCTCTAAGTTGAACTCCAGTTCTGAGGCCACATCCAAGATCTGGGGGATCCGGTCTGGGGAGAGAGGACACTCATCTTGGAGCCCCACAGGGGCAGGCACTGACCACTGAAGTGTCCACTCTCCTGTGTCCTGCATCTCCTTGGAGATACCGCCGTCTGCCCAGTCACTCAGGCCTGAAGCCAGTGAAGTTCTGTGTGATTCCTCCAGAGCCTTGGCACCCCATGTCCGATCAGCTGCAGAGGCCACCTCCTGTGCTCCTTTAACTCCTAACACCCTCTCATACAGCAAGCAGAGGCCGTACCAGCCTCACGGCTGGCACTCTGGTTCAGGCCTCATTCATTCTGGGGCCCTGCTGCAGATACCTGAGGTCTCCTGCCTACTTCCACTCTCCACCCAGCAGCTGGTGTAGCTCTATCAAATACAGATCTGACCACTGTATGCCCCATCATCTTAAATGTACACCCATTGGCCTGCTGTTCATATTCCCCAAGCTTTGACCTCTTCTAACCACATCTCCAACCTCCCCTCACTCCACTGTCCTGGCACCTAAGCCTGAGTCTACAACCCCTGGGCCTTTGCCCCTGTTCTTACCCAGCCATCTCTCTCTTTTCCTTCATATTCCATCTCAGATCTCACCTCTTCCTAGAAGCCCTCCCTGACCCACTCAGGCAGGTCCGGGGCCTCCTCTGGGGTCCCACCCACTTGGGGCTGCTGCTCATCCCTGTACAGCTAATGTGGGCTGTGTGGTGAGAATTTCTTCCAGACCATGGGGTCCCCAAGGGCAGAACTTTGAGCCACAGAAATGCGTTTGGTGAAGGCTGCCCTGTTTTGAGGGATCTCAGAGATGCTTGTGCTCATACCTGATTTCTCACAGTGCATGCCATGCCACCCGGAGGGGCAGACACAGCCGCTGAAGCGGTCACAAGTACCGCCATTCTGGCACTGGCACTGGAGGCGGCAATCAGCCCCAAAATGACCAGGGGCACAGGCTGGAACAGAGGGGGTATGGTTAGAGGGGTACAGGTCTTCAGCAATGAGGGCAGAGCTGGGGCCTGGGTTACAACAGGCTGGGTGGAGAGGGTGCTGGTCAGGTGAGCAGGCAATTGTGGAGGGGTGTAAGTCAGGGCCAGAGTGAAAGGTCCAGGTCAAGCCTGTAGCCAGCTGCCTGGGTCAGGGACCATGGAGGATGAGTTAGTCCATACCTTCCTGGCACTGGCTTCCTCTCCAGCCAGAGCCACAGGAGCAGCCGTAGGGGTCTGGGAGGCAGAAGGTGAGGCCACGACAGCCTGATGTACCTGGGCACTGCTCCTGGCAGCTCTGCCCAAAGCGGCCCTCCCTGCAGGCTAGAAAGAGGGCATATGGGCATAGGGGCATCTGCTGGGCCCCGGGTCCAGACCAACTTCACATTCTTACCCTCCAAGCCTCATCCTCTCAGTTGGAGAGTCTTCCCCCAGCCAGGCGTCCTCTCCTGCATAGGTCCTAGCTCCCCCTCCTCCTTACCCTGCTCACAGCGGGTACCCGTGAATCCAGGCGGGCACACACATTCGCCGTCCTGGTCATGGCAGACACCTCCATGCAGGCAGCCTGGGCATTCCTTGGCACAGCCTGGTCCCCAGAGTCCTGCCTCACAGCCTGAAGGAATGTGCTTTCAGCAGCTGACCCTCAGCCACCTGACCACTGCTGCCAAGGACTGGGGCTGCCCTGGGACCCTCAGGAAGCCCACAGAGCTCTCGGCCTCCCACACCTCCCACACCTCCCATCACCTCTGCCCCGGCCTCTAACCCCGCACGATGAGCCGAAAGAAGGCACTGCCCAGGGGGCTAGCTTCCAGGTAGGTGGCACTGTAGATGCCGCTTGATGGTGGCTGCACGTTTGTGAGATGCAGCAAGAACCATCCATCCTGGGCCTCATGCCAGTCCAGGGTATGGAAGTAGGATCCTGGAGGCATAAACAGGTCAGGGGCCTCAGCACCATGTGACAGCTGGTGTCCCCGTCCTCTGCCCACCTCCCCAGGTACCTCAGTGAGCACTTTGCCCAATGATCAGACCTGGGGAAGACACCAGCGAGTGTTTGAACCCAAGTCAGAAGCTGGGGAGCATCATTTTCTCCACACTCCCCCAACCATCAGTGATCACCAAGTCCTGTTGTGTGCATCTCATCTCCTGAAGCTGTCTGCTTCTCCCCACACCCACTGCCACCACCCAGACCCACCTCCCACAGCCTCCTAAGCAGTCTCTCTCCTCCTGTTCCCTTTCCCATCCATCCTCCACTCGGCAGCCAGTGTGATTTTTCTCCAACACATTCCCCTGTAGCTCCCCTTGCTCACACTCATCCCCAGTCCTCCACCCCTCAGGACAACGCCCAGCAACGCAGCATGGCATCCTCACCCCTCTGGCCAACAGTCAGCTCTCCTGCCCCACACCTCTCAGTGCCCAGCCTGCCTCCTAACATTCCTAAATTCAGGCATTACTGGTTTCTCTGCTGGAAACACCATGGTATTGCAGAGCCTTTACTCTGGTATTCCTGCTTTTGCTCTTATTGATCCTCCTGGAATATTCTTCCTTCCTTTTGTGTGTGGCTATTTCCATTCCCCCATCTGGGCACAGTTTAGGTGTCTACTCTCCCTTCAGGACCTGCGGACCCTAATATTAGGGTCCCTATCTCTGCCGTAACCCCTTCTTTGCTCAGGACTGAACAGGAACTCTAGGGTGCCCAGGTCCACCTGACTCTGTGCATCTCTCATCAGTAAGGGACCTGGAGCTCAGCAAGCAAATGTTTTGTGCCCAAGGGTAGGGTCCCTCTCCCCCAGGACCCCAGGGATGCAAGAGGCAGCCAAAGGGCTGTGGGTCTGAGGGCTGGGGCAGGAATGTTCAGGGCCTCACAGGAAAATAGCTTCCTCCCATGGAGTGGCCTGGGAGGGCCACGGGTGGGGCAGGCCTAGGCTGAGATCCCCAGGGTCTGCCTAGGCCCTGGCATGTGTCTGGACAGAACTCTGGAAGAGACTAGACTCCCTGTGCTTGCTCTGGAACTTTTTTACCATTTCTCCTCTTCCCCATGGGGACTGCTGCTCCCTGCCGCTTGGGTTATGTAGCAGCGCTTGCTAACTCCCAGAGGAGTGCTGAAGGTGCGGGTTTAGCACAGTGCTGACTTGGGGGTGACACGGGAGGAGGCCACCGACCAGGAGACTGCCGGTCCTCTGAATGGGCTCAGAGGAGGACACAGAGCTGGAGATGGGATGGCTTCATGTGCTTCCTGGGCCAGGACAGATGACAGACCCTGGAGGTTGGCTGAGGTAATAGGTGTATTGGAGTGACAGGTGTGTAGGACGCCAAAACTGGGGATGCCAAGGAGGTGTTGGGGTGTCAGACCTATGGGTTTTCTTGCCCAACTAGTTCAGATGACCCTCTCACCGTTGCTTTTCCAGATCACATCTGTCTGTTTCACCTTGCGCACACGTGCGGAAAGCACAGCCGTGTCGCCTCTGTTCACTGTGTGTGTGACCTTATCCGGGAGCAGGTGGGCTGCGGGGTGGAGGGAGGGGGTCAGAGGTCATGGGCACGCCTGCGCACCCCTCAGTCCCGCGTGCAGACTCACCTCCGGGGTTGTTGTGCACGTAGATGACGCGCGTGCGCCGCGGCCCCGCGCCGCCCACGCAGGAGAAGACGCCCACGAGGTCGGAGGGCTGGGAGAAGCCGCGCAGGGAGATCTGGTGCGAGCCGTTGCGGGCCAGGTGCGGGGGCTGCCAGGGCCGGGGCGTGCGCACAATGCGGTCGTCCTTCTCCAGCAGCAGGGGAGCGCCCCAGGGGTCCGAGCCCCTGACCGCCCCAGCCTCCCCCGACACGCAGGTCAGAAAGAAACGCTGCGGCTCCGTGAGGCGCAGGTCGGCCAGCAGTGTCAGGTCCCCCGCTGCGCCTGGGGCCGGGACATCAGTCCTCGGATCTGACAGGAGGGTCTCCAGCCTTCACCCCTTTTTACCCCCACCCCCACTCCTTTTTTGCACTTTATCAAGGACATCCACCCCCTCCCTTCCTGTCTCTTTCCCCTTCCTGGTGCATTGGTCCCTTTTCCTCAAGTCTTAAATCCTGAAAGAACAAAAACAAAAACAAAGCCCCTTGTCTGTCTGGCCCTTTCAACCCCTCCCTTCTCCTACCAGATGGCTTCTCTTTACAGCCCCGCTTTCAGAAAGAATGATCTATGCTCCTGTCTCCGGTTCCTCACTTTTTATTCCCTATCATTGCCCCTTCCTGGCCTGACTCTAAACTGCTCTGTAAAGGCGAGTGGCACCCCTTGTGCCCCACCATGAGGGTGCAGGCTGGGAGAGCCACAGAGAGCAGAAGTGTCTTGGAGAAACCCCTTCTTGTCGCTCCAGACATCTAGATGTGTTTGTTGTGCAAGAATTTAAGGTGGGAGAAGCAGTTCTGCAGCCAGGTGTTTGTGGGCAGAAAGGAAGTGAGCTTCTGGACCAGGCTAACGCCAGAAACAGGGAGGGCAGGCTGGGGCTGACACACACTTAGATAGTCTTGAGGTGGGCCTAGTCTTTGCCTTCCAGAGAGCTGCCTGCCTTGCTGGGGAGGCAGACATGGACATCACTGTCAAATTCAGGGAGCCATGTGGGCCAGCACAAAGGAGGGGCACTAACCCAGTGTGGGGGTGGCAGGGATGGAGAGATGCCTCCTGGGACATAATGCCAGTGGGTCTGAGAGCTGAGCAGGGCACCGTGGGGTCAGGAGAATAGGGATGGGGTGAGGTCGGTGGTAGGAAAGGGCAGTCTAGGCAGAGGAAACAGCCCAAGTAAAGGCATGGAGTGAAAAATACCGTGGTGTGGATGGGGGGATGTCCAAGTTCCGGGTGGCTGGAATACACAGTGTGAGGCAGAGTCCGGAGTCCAGGCCTGACCGTGGAGAGCCCCGTGAGCCTTCTCAGCCCCATGACCCCATGCCCTCCTGAGCCCCTTCTCAATCGCTGCCTGTTAACTGCCAAGTAGCTCGTTAGTTTGAACACCACTTAGCTTATCAATTGATATTCTTGGAAAGCCTACTGTAAGTAAGTGGAGCTAGCATTTGCTGATGGCCTGCCTATGCCTGGCACCTGTTTTCCACTGGATCCTCATGCCCTCCAGTGAAGCTCATGTCTTTCCATTTACCGAGGGTAGTAATAATTATTCTGCAGGTTTCCTCCAGCCCACTCATCCACTCCCTTGGCTCTAACTGTCCCCTCTGAGTGGGGCGGCCTCTCAGATCAGACCTGCCTTTCTGTCAGCTTTTCCCAAACCTGCTTCTCTCCAGTGCTGCCTGGTTCAGCAGATGGGACTGGCCACCTGAGACACAAACTTTGGAGTCATCGCATCCTACTGCTGTCATAATAATTAATGTTTATTGGAAGTCAATTATATGCTGGGCATTTTCCTGATGTTCTCTTCTTTTATCATCCCAACTATCCTGGGAGGTGGTTGTTATTACCCCAATTTTATAGCCAGTGAACAAAGGTTCAGAGAAGTAACTTGCCCAAGGTCATATAGTTAGTAACTGGCAGGTTTTCTGACTTAAAAGTCCACACCTCTAAGCATGGTACTGGCTGCCCCAGTCAGCCACAGAATTCTGCTAATTCTGTTTCCTCAAAGCCTCTTGACGTCATCCCTATCTCCAAGCCTGCCGTTGTTTAGCCCTCACCTTTACTTACCTGGACCATCCCAACAGCTACACCCCAACTTCCTCAACTCATCCTCCAAAGTGATCCATCTAAGACCTTGTGACTCCCTGGCCTACAGCCTTCCATGGCTCCCCATTGCCCTCAGGATACAGAGCATGCTCTTGAGGCCCTTGCTGCTCACACTCTGCCCCTCCTGCTGTGTTCTTTCCAGGAACCTTCTGTCCCATGCATTTCCATGCCTCAGAGACTTGCCATCTATTGTTATGGCTGCCTGGAATGAAGACCACCACTTTCAGTGAAGTCTTTCCCTACCCTGAAGCAGAGTAAACTGACTCCTCAGTGCTCCTTTGGAGCTCCATGTCTGTTTAGCCTCACCCCATGAACTATGTCCTCAACTAGACCATGAATCACTCAAAGCCAGCATTTGTATTCTAATCCTCTTCAGCTACCACTTATTCAGAAACCTTTACCAAGCACCAAGCACTGTCCCAAGCACTCTGTGTAAATTGCCTCATTTAAACTCTCTAACAGCCATAAGAGGTCATCATCATTTAATCTATTGTACAGATTTGGAAGTTGTCTGCCTATTAACTAATGGCACACCTCTTAGCACAGCTCCTGGAATATTGTTGGTGCTTGATAAATGTTTGTTGAATGAATAATTGAGTGACTCCAACACCCTGAAACCCATATGAGCAACCACTGAAAACTTCCTGGGACCGATAGGCCTTGCTGCTCCCAACAGGTCCTGAAATCCAACACAGTCAAGGGTCACACCCCCTTCCCTCCACCAGTCCCAGGCTGCAGTGAGTTCTAGTGCCTGCCTGGGTGTTTGAGGCCCTGATCCTACCTTCTAGCTGATCAAGGTGTGGATGAAAGTGATGCCAGTGATGATAGGGTTTCCTGGAGAGAATCAGTGCCTTGAGGGCTGGGTTGGGGGTGGCTTGGGGGAGACTTACCAACATGAGAAGCCAGGAAGAGAATGGGGAGCAGCCAGGGGGGCACCAGCCAGACCATGCTCTAGAGTCTGCCCAGGCCAGCCAGGACGAGCTGGGCCCACGGTCAGTTGCCCAGGGTCTGGCTACTCAGCCTGTGCTGGTTGGTGTGTGTTGGTGTTGGAGAGGAAGAGGAAATGAGGTGGCTTGGGAGGGAGGAGTGGCAGGGGAGAGGAGTGGGGAGAACTCCTGCTTCTGGGCCTCTGGGGCCCCCAGTCCAGCCCCTGCAAGGCTGAGGATGGGTGTGGCCTGGAAGGTCTTACTCCGGAATGGAGTTACTCGAGGTGGGGGTTGGGTTGTGGTAAGGACAGACCTGGGGACGACAGGATTGATTTTCCCATCCCGGCTTCCCTCCTTGGTCCTCAGTCTGGCCAGTGTGCAGGAGGCAGGAGGCAGGAAAGGGAGGAAGCCAGTGGCTTCCGCCTATTGAGGAGGGATGGGGGGCAGATATTGTTTTGAGGTCTCCCCTCCCCCCATACACACAGTGCAGCCCACGTGATTCCTCATGTATGCACCCCAGGACACAGTTACGTGGTTGTCCTGGAGAGCATTTCATGTATGTAAAATAAGGATCTTTGTGGGCCAGGGGAATGTACACAAAGGAACAAAAAACTCACACTTGGCAAAAAAGAACCTTCGATTCTATCTTGCATAGGCAGGGGTGGAAAAGTTTACCCTTCTTCCTTTCTAGGTTCTTTGGATGATCTAATAAATCAACATAAGGCAGATCCACAGGAAAACAAAAGTTTAATAATACGTATACCTCCTCTATACATGGAAGTGAAGGGGTTCAGATCAAGTCTCCCCAAGATATGCCACTTTGGCATGATGATCATTGGGAGCTAAAAGCAATAAAAACCCAGCAGATTCAGGAAAAGCTCTCTACCTCCCCTCAGCTGCTTACATTGATGTGGGAAAGGGGACCTGGATCTGCAAGAGCTATTACTAGAGATTCCTTTTTACCTAAGAAACTTATCTGCATAACAGCCACAATTTTTGCTTTCCAAACATCTCTGTCTTGCTGCCAACAGCCCTCCTCCTCCCTTGGATCCCTGGACCCCTACCCCTTCCTTAGCTCAGGACATTATATAAGCTTCAGTTGTCTGGCTTCCCTTTGGATTTGATATTTAATGGGGCCACCCCAGATAAGTAATTAAACTTGTTTTTCTCCTTTAATCTGTCTTATGCCAAATTAATTATTAGATTCGCTAAAGGACCTCCAAGGGAAAAAGGGAACATCTTCCCACCTCTTCAGATGGCAATCATGGAGGGACTTTAACTGCCGAAAGTTGCTTACTCCAGGACTGAGAGATCTGGAGCTGAGAGATCCCGGGACTTCTGACCAAAAATCTGGCAGAAGGTAAGAATTCTGAACTGACTGTCAGACTTCTGGATCTTTGCCTGCAGGATCTGGTGGGACTGAGAGTGGTGAGTCCTTTCCCTTTTCTAAATTTAGATTAGCAGGAGAAAATATGTGTGAAACTAGTACCTTGGGTATAACGACTTTCAGAAAGATTTGGTAATGAGTACTTTTGTTTTTTATCAATCCTTTTCCTCTCAGAGATGGGCACTGCTTTTCTTGTCTCTGGTGTGTTATCTTTTTGTTCTATGTCCTTGGTTTTGTGACTTGGTTTTTTGTTCTATGTCCTTGGTTTTTGTTCTATGTCCTTGGTTTTGAGGACTTGGTTTTGTGACTAGTGAGAATATTCTCTCTGGCCTTTGACAGCTGGAAGGTGCACACACAGGGCATGCATCTTGGTGGCCAAATAGACTGGAGTTCTAAGACACAAAGCCACAAGCAACACCCTCTTTGTCCTACTGTGCCAGCTCTCGGGGAGTTTGTCACAAGGGGTCCCAGTCTATGAGGGGCGCTTGTCCTCTCAACCTTCCTTATTTGCTAGTGCTGGCAAAGTCCTATTCTAGGAGCACCTGCCTGGTGTCACAGATTACCGGGTCTGGTCTGTGACAGGAGGTGTTCCATGTTCTTGGGAAACTGGAAACACCATTTTTACTATAGCATTCTTACCACTTTTAACAACAAAGGTCTCTATAATTTTCTTAGCCTATCATTGGGAATGAATGGGGCTGCGTCACTTGTACCCATTCCAGTGATGCCTCTTGCATCCATGTTGAAGAGCTATTTTAGGCCTGGAAAGTTACTTCCAGGTCTTTCCACAAAAAGGCTTCCAAAGACATGCAGATATTGTAAAAAATCAGGACATTGGAAGAAAAAATATCCAGCATTTAAGAGAAAGGAAAGTTTAAGAAATAATCTTCCTAGATCCCATCATCCCCAGATGGTTTGTTTACCTGTAGAACAACTCCCCGTCAAATGATGAGGCCAGTTGATCCTCAGTTGCACCCTAGAGCCCCCCATTAAACTGAAAATAGATGATCCGGACCTGAATTTCTTGACATTGGTGTGACTTTCTCCACCATCTGCCCAGATGTCTTAGCTCTGCCTGTCACCTTTATTCTTTCCAAACTTTTGGCATCTCTGGGTGGCCTTGTTCATAGCCCATGTCTCAGCCCACCCTAGTGTTCTTAGGCCTTCTGAATACCCATTCTGCCTTTCTAGTGTGTCCAGCTCCTCACCAGTAAACCTTTTTGGTTGAGATTTGTTATGTGAATTTAATGTCACTATAAAATGTAATAAGAAAGGCATTTTTATTTCCTTGTCCTTTGACCAAACCCCAAATTTCCTACTTTCCTTACTGGAAACTTGATTTCAATTCTTCTGAAGAGGATGAATCTTTAAAAGATGTCCCAGTTAGTCTCTGGGCTGCACGTGCTAATGCAGCTGGATTGTTACTGAGTGCAGAGCCTGTCTGCATTACTTGGAAGTAAACTGTTTCCATCAGCCCAGTACCCTCTTGCTGAGATGCCAAGGGAGGAATTTAACCTCTAATAGACTCTTTTGCAGCAGAGTGTACTTGTCTTTACTTCCTCATCCTGTAACACTCCAATCTTGCCAGTAAAAAAAGAAGGGAAATTTGACTCAGATGGGAACCAAATCTGTTGATTTGTGTAAGACCTAGAAGCCACAACCTCTTTTGTAACTGCCTGCCACCCCATGGTCTGGCTATTGTTCTTACTTTAGTTACTGTTGATGTGGTCTGGTTTACAGTAACTGACCTCTGCTCAGCTTGCTTTTCAATCCTCACAATTTCATTTTGCATTTATATGGAGATATGGACTCAAACACCTCAAGGATTTCATGAGTCTCCCTCAATATTTTCCCAAGTCCTTAAAGCTGACCTGGATTCTGTAGCCTTTACCCAACACTCCACTCTTGCTCACTATGTGTATGACCTTTTACTTTGTAACTGAACAAAGCGGGGAGCTCTTACAGATGGCCTTGTTCTCCGAAAGGCAGTAGCTGTCCAAGGCCATGAAGCCTCCAGATCTGAACTTCAGTGGGTGCGAACAACTGTTACTTAGGACATAAGATATCTCAGGACATTCGAAAGCTTACCCTTGAATCAATTCTATTCATCCCTCTACCCAAAATGAGAAAAGGTATATAACTTTCTAGGGGCAGCTGGCTACTGCCACCAGTGGATTCCTAATTTTGCTGCCCTTGCTAAACCACTGGATGCCTCTCTCCCAAATACCACCCAGCACCCATTTCCTGGCCTTCCACGCATTAACTTCCTTTGAAACCTTAAAATTGACATTGTCTGCACCCTCAGCTCTTGGTTTACCTAATTTTGAAAAAAAAGCTTTTCATTTATACTGCTGTGAAAATAATGGCATTGCTGCGGGCACTCTAGGACAGCCTTTTGCCTCTCAGATATGCCTTATAGCATATTTCTTGTGCCAGTTAGACCCTGTGGCATCAGGTATGATCCCATGCTTCCCTGAAGTAACTGCAGCCCCCATCTTGATTGACAAAGCCAGTGTTCTTACATTAGGTCCCCCATTCACCTGTACATTCCTCACACTATCTCTCCCCTCTTACAAGGACATAAGACACAGCACCCCTCTACGTGCTGACCTATGCGAGAATCTTTTCACTAACCCTTACATCATGGTAACATCACTGTAACACTTTAAATCCAGCTACTTTACTACCCCTCCAGAATGATGGGCTGCCCCACTTCATTCCATATGATTGCCTTTGTGAAAATTAATAAAAGGAAACATTGTTTAAAATGGAGTCAGGAGGCCAGAAGGGGGAGCTCTCATGTCTTACCACTCATCCTCAAATGCTGACACACCAACAGGAAGAGACATACCTTGCGTTCCCAAGAGGAAGAAGTCTACTTTACTATCCTGGCAGGATGAAGAAAGGTTTTCTCTTCCCCAAGCAACAGCACAGCCAATGAGAGACTGTCACAACTCAGCCAATGAAAAGCCACTATACTTCAAATTTCTGACCAAATTATTTCCCAATGTACCACTTGTAAATCTCACCAAACTGCTGAAGAAATCAGTATACCTTGGAAAGTCCTCCTAGGCCCCTAGTGCCCTTGTGGCACTCCAAATGGGTTTTGTAGATTTGCCCCTAGCTTTAGGGTATTCTTACTGTGTGGTTATTGTCTGTGTACTTGGTGGATGAATTGGATGCTATCCAACTAGAAGAACTGATGCCACAACAGTAGATGAATTAATAACTGAAATTATCCCTTGTTTTGATATTCCTTTATGGATTGAATCAGAGCAAGGAACTCATTTTACAGCAGAGATAAAATGCTTGCAGAACTCTGAGGTGCTCATTAAAATTTCACACCCATATCATCCTCAGTCATCAGGGCAAGTGGAACATGAAAATCTAGACATAAAAAAGGACTTTAGGAATACTTTTTAAATAAATTGGACTTAAAAGGCCAGAAGCAGTACCTTTAGTCCTTATAAGTTCTGGAATACTCCAAATAGGAGACATGGACTGACCTCTTTTGAAATGGGGTTTGGCCCTCCAATGCCTACTGGGATCTCTAAACCTTTCATTCTTGGGTTGAGTGAGCTTGATGGGAACCTAAGTGAACAGTGTGATGCTTCACTAGCTACAAAGGAATAATTGTATACTTGAAGTTTATCATCCACAGGTAAAAGAGGCTTGGTCTCCACTGATTGATAAGCTTTGCCACCTCGTGCAACCAGGATAGGAGGTGTACATCAAGGTGTATAGAGGAAAGCACACACTGTCATCTCGCTGGGAAGGACCTCATGATGTACTGCTGGCCACGTACACCACCAGCAAAATGAAAGAAAAAAATCTTCCTGGCTTCATGCCAGTCATGCCTGAATAGACACCGATCATTGTTTTCAAGATAATTGGGAGACAATCCCTACAGGTGACCTTAAAATAAGGATTTCCCAAGCCAATACCCAGGCCCCAGAAGTAGGTGGCATTATGAAGTCATTAGCTTTTCCCAGGGTCATGGATCATGAGGCTTTGCTTCCACCTTTCACCGCTCCCCCGCCGCCACCTTTTAAAAACTTCGTGCACACACACATGTACACACACACACATGCATAAAACAAAGAAACAAAACCTTCCTATTAACAAACATCTTTTCCTACTTTCATTGGTCATCTGTTAGAAGGCTAACTAGAGAGTGCTTGTCTGTATGTACCCTGCTTCCCCCTCCCTGAGACTCTAGTATGGGCTTTCTGCGAATCTATGTCTTGCTCTTATTCATATTTACTATTTTTTCAATAGGTCGGGCACAGACCCACTTACGTCACTTACGCCAGTTTTCTAAATCTTGGCCACATTAACTAATCATTCTGATTGTTGGTTATGTCAATGCTTAGATAGCACAAAAGGACCTGAACCAGTCTTCATTACCACTGATGGGAGCACCTGGTGGGCTAAATTTGGAAGATGGGTGAACGACAGGTATGGTATCCATACCAGAAAAATGTCCTTCTGCCTTTCCTTCTGGTGAGATTTTTGGCCCCAGAAAAACCTGTATGGAAGCTCAAGGACTATCACTTGCCCAGCTAAAGACAGTAGGTGGAATTTTCCCCTTCACATTGAAAATAAGCATGACACTGGGCCTTTCCTGGGTGGACATACTAGAATAATATTGCAATCTAATTCTGTGGTTTGATTCCACTGGTAGCATTTTATTAAGGAGGCTGTAAGTGACTCTGGCACTACCTTTCATGGCATAAACATCTGCCAAATTTCTAATGTTTTGGGTGGTTCACAGGCCACCCTTGTATGACTGGGTGTCTCAGCTGCTCCCGTAATTAAGCTGTCCAATACTGTAAGCTCTATATGCATAGACCAAAACTCTGGACTAACTTGGTCTGGTTGCAAAACCAAGATTCATAGCTGCCACAGCCTGACTACAGGCCTTCTATATCAGAAATGTACAACCTGTTCTGTTCTTACAGATTGATGCGAGC